CTGTTATTAATGTTGTAAAGTGCCATCAATACAGTTCTTAGAATTCATTCACTACTAGAGAATGCATATTATACAGTAAGTGCTCAAAGTACTGAGCACTTATTGTGTATGTCCTCAGCACTGGATCAGGCACTGAGGATACAATAGAGAACAAAACAAATTTCTTGTCCTTGAGACAAAATCCTAGTAACTCTTTCTAAAATTCCATCTAGACGCTCTGCCTTTGTCTTACTGATAGAATATATGCCTCAAACTTGTATTATTATAAGCAAAACTTCAGTTATCATTCTTACAGATATGCCTTTGATTACACATGTAAAATTTTCTCTATGTGATAATCCAAGAAATGCTAGGTGTTATAAGGAATGAAAATGAGAATTCTGCTTGTTACTCTATATACAGCTTCATTCGTAGTAGATACATTTAAAATAGAAATGCACATATTCTAATGTTAAAGGAAATACACTCAATATTTAGAAATGATAAGCACAGATTGTTAGATCAAAATGTCCAGGCATTGTCAAAAATTATACATATGTAGAATCAAAATCCAGGTTGACATTGTGTTTAGAACATATCTATCTATTTCCTCTGAACTGAAAAAGAAAAAAAAAAACAAAAAACAAATTAAGTGTAATGGACACTGTATGGTATTTTTATCGTATGAGGAGGCTGATTGGAAATTTCCCAATGATACACCAGGGCATAGGCAATATAGCACAAGAGGAGTAGCATGAGGTATGAGCTATTAATGCCAAGGACACACACCACTGAATACTTCAACTTAATAAGCTCACTAAAAACTGCATTCATGGTACCCTAGAGAATTACATTGGTCTCTCAGTCCATGATTTCCCCAAAGGAAGTTGCACAACAAATTGAAAATGGTTTCAGGTACTTTAAAAATGCAAGGGGAGAACTTTAGATATGATGATCTCAGTGATTCTCTCCTTCATAACTTAGATAGTAGAAGAACTATGAATAGCAAATATTAGTGAATAAGCAGAGCATTAGAGTTTCTAATCCTAAGAGCTGAGTCTGAATACTTGGGGACAAATTCCTAGGAAGTAAGTATTTTACAAAAATCCTATATGGGCAACATTTAACTGCAGAGAAGCATTTTCCAAGAGTCAGTAGTTTTGAAGCAAATACCTAACCTATGCAGTATCTAATGCTCCCTCAAGACCTATGATGTATCTAATGTCCCCTCCAAGTATTTATTTTAATTACTTGACAGATTTTATATTTCAATATTTCTAATAGATTGGAGATCACTCTATTGAGTTTCACAATCTTAGTCTTTTTAGTATTTGTTGTTATCGTTGTTAAGTGCTGTCAAGTTGGTTCCGACCCATAGTGACCATGTATAGGGTTTCCAAGGAGCAGCTGGTGAGCTTGAACCACCGACCTTACAGTTCAAATGGCTTTGCAGTGTGGCTCATTAACCCACAGATATTTACTGAGGCCTTATTCTGATCCAGTCCCCAATGTGAATGATTTAACCAATGACAATATTTAAGAATCAAAAGCATGCATGCTTTCAAAGAAAAGAGAGGTTCGTTTATCATCTTCATAAATAAATAATTTGTTGTTGCTATTTAGTGCCATTGAGTTAATGTTGTTAAATATATATGTATATATATATATATATATATCTTAACAAATAAAAGAGAGTTTCATTTATCATCTTCACAAATCATTTATTGTTTAGTTCCCATGAATTATTACTGTTAAATATATATGTGTGTGTATATATATATATATTTGTTTGTTATGCCTGTTATTAATGTAAAGTGCCAGCAAACCAGTTCTGACTAACAGTTATTCTGTATAGGTTTCTGTGTAGCAGCTGGCTGGAGGAACCACTGACCCTGCTGTTAACTGTACAGTGCTTATTCAAAACCAAACTATATTAACCTACAAGTGCCACATAAGAATGCCAAATAAATCATAGATTAAACAAAATTAATATTTAATATTAAATCATCTTGCATTAAAACTCATAACTTGGTAACTGGTGCCAACCCAGATAACTAAGAGAGCCATCTACTCCATTTATTTTGAAAATATGTGTGACTAAGGACACCTTTCTTAAATTCGTTGAATCTGTCTTGCTATGTATAATATGGCAGTGATACCAGTTCATAGCTTAAATGGCTTCTGTTGGGTAGAAATAGGATTAAGATGCAGTATTCAAATCACTGATGCAGTATTCAAATCACTAAGGAGCTCTGGTAGAGTAGTGGTTACGAATCGGGTTGTGAATCTTAAGGTCAGCGGTTCGAAACTACCAGCTGCTCCGCGGGAGAAAGATGAGGCTTTCTACTCCGTAAAGATTTACACCCTCGGAAACCCTGTACAGGGTCGCTATGGGTCGGAACCGACTCGACGGCACTTAACAACAATTCAAATCACCAATGAGAGAGATTGCCACATAGTCTGTACTAAAGTATCAACTCATTGTAGAGATTGAAATACATAGGACAAGAGAATAATAGAAAACCTTTAGATACAAATCTTGTACCAGGGATGTAAATTTGAAGTAGGCCTTAGATGAAGAAGTATATTATCACTAGCTTTCTTACATTCCATGTTTTAAAAGACAAAGGTAAATTCCTCATGTTTCATGGTTGTCAGACTTAAATTGTGTACAAAACACTATTATTTAACCTAAACAGTTGTTAACATCTATTTCTCAAGAAATTGAAAAGGTTTGAGGCCTAGGAAATAATTAAGACCTAATAAGTATTTTTGAAAATTAGTAAACAATCTACACATTCTAGTAAATGGCAAGGATTCTAATAGTAAATTTCTAGTATATTAATGAAATGTGATTTATTTCTCCATTCAACAGACATACTTTGTTTCAATAAAATATTTATGTGCTATCGTTTTTCAAGATTCCTGGTGGTATTGCTGATAAGCTCTATAGAGTTAAATTTTAAACTCTAACCTCATCAGCTATATTACAATCAAATATATATTAAAAATGCTGTTGTAAATTTAATCTTGTCTCATAATCACCCTGTAGATATGACCTGTAAACTCAGTAAACTGCCACAGCTTTCTTCAAAGATGCTGCTGATAGGTTTGAATGGGCAACATTAAAAGTAGCACTCCAACCACTTCTTCACTAGAGCTCTTCTAATGCTTATTGGAAGTAACAAATATTAAAAAAAGAAAAAAAAGATGTATTTTAGTTAATTCTTCCGAAGAGTAACATTGTGAATAGAAATGCAATTAATAGAGTTTTGAAGACTATGGTTTTTTTGAAGACAAACTACCAAGAATTTCTTCTGAGTAGGTTCCAATCACCAACATTTGTATTGTCAGTGACAAGCTTAACCCTTTGTGTCATACAAGGATTTCATATAATTATTATATTAAGAGGATCATGAATGACTAAAACGTATTTTGAAACAATAAGAAAAAAAACCCTGTTGCCATCAAATAAAGTATGTGTTCAAGAGTAAAAGTGTTCCATAGGATTTTATTGGCTATAATCCTTATAGCACCAGTTGATCCACAAGCCTGTTGTTGTTGTTACAGTTGTAAAGTACTGTTGAGTGCATTCTGACTCATATCGACACAGCGTAGGGTTTCTGAGGAGCAGCCAGTGAGTTTGAACCACTGGCCTTGAGGTTCAAACCAAACTTGTTGCCCAGTGCTTATCCAACAGAACTCTGTTTCAGTGCAAAATTTGTTACTTAGGGAGCTAAATACATTTAGGAATCACCTAAGTTGAGCTTAAAGAGCATGCAAAATTTCAGTCTTATAAAAAAGACCAAAAATCTAAATGTTTTATGAACACAAAATAGATAATTTCTGATAATAAATAAAGAATATTGTTGGAAAATATAATAACTTAGCATGGACATGTGTGTACTTACCTTCCTTCTTCCCAGAAAAAGAAAAAGAAAACCCCAAACAACAGAAATATGACCAACCACTCGGTGGTAATGGAATTCTACCTCATGGAGTTCTCCAACACCAGGGAACTCCGGGTTCTGCATGCCTTTGTATTTCTGATAATTTACTTGGAGACCATCATGGGGAATCTTCTCATCATCATCCTTGTCATTCTGGATCAGAGTCTTCACACACCCATGTACTTCTTCCTCCAGAACTTATCTTTTCTTGATTCTTGCCTCATTTCAATCACAGTCCCAAACTTTATTCTGAACTCTTTATCCCATAGGAGCACAATTTCTATGTCAGGATGTGTGTTGCAGATCTTCTTGGTGGTTCACTTTGTTGGATCTGAACTTTTCCTCCTCTCAATCATGTCCTATGATCGATATGTGGCCATCTGTCATCCTCTGCATTATGAGAATATAATGAACAGGGGCTTCTGTATGCAGATGGCAGCTGCCTCATGGCTTGCTGGAAGCATTTTTGGGGTTCTTTACTGAGCTGGAAATTTCTCTCTGTCTTTCTGTGGATCCAGGAAACTCCCACGTTTTTTCTGTGATGTTCCATCTCTACTGAAGATTTCTTGTTCTAAGACACATATTATCATTAATGTCAGTGTATCAATTGGCTTCTTGTATTCACTTTTATGCTTAATTTGTATTGTTTTTTCATACATTTGTATTTTCAATATAGTGCTGAGAATGCCATCATTTCAAGGCAGGTCAAAAGCCTTCTCCACTTGCCTGCCCCATCTGGTAGTTGTGATCACATTTTTTATGACAGGTGCCATTGCCTATTTGAAACCTGTCCCTGACTCCCCAGATCTTCTTGATTTTGTTATGTCTG